AAAAACCCGCACCAGACAAGATTGAGGTCATCAAGGCCTGGCCCGAGGTGTTGCAGAACGAGACGCAAATACGTCAGTTTCTAGGCACCGTCAATTATTGCCGCATGTTCATGGGTCCGGATTTTGCCAAGGTCGCCCGCCCGCTCGTCGACCTCACTCGCAAGGGTGTCTCTTTCCAGTGGACAGATGTGCACACTCAGGCGGTACGCAAACTCAAGCAGCGTTTGATTGATTACACCACCCTACAGATCCCTGATACCACAAAACCCTTCGAGCTCTATACAGATGCCTCTGGCTATGCAGTTGGCGCCGTTCTCGAACAGGCAGGTCAACCAATAGGGTTCCTCAGTCAGGCCATGACCCCCGCGCAGCAGAAATACTCAATCTACGACCAGGAGCTTTTGGCCTTAGTATCAGCACTCGACAAGTGGGCTCACTTACTGCGACCGGCCAAGGTTACGGCCCACACCGACCACCAAGCCCTTACATACTTACAGCAGCTCAAGGCGTCGAAGCCCCTCCGTGGCCGCACCGCCCGATGGCTAGATTTTCTGGCTGAGTTTCCCGAACTCACTATTACATACCTGCCGGGCGCTCGTAACCAAGTGGCAGATGCACTGTCTCGTATCCCTTATCACTCAGCCCCTAGCCCTACACCCGCTCCCCTCGAATCCCCTGCGATCCCTTCTGAGTCTCTTGCAGCTCTCGTACCAGCGACTGGCCCGTCCGAACCTTCGCACGAGACCCGGGGACCACGTCCTGACTACCGGGAACTTGCCTGCCTCCGCCGACGTTCCTCCCGGCAACGCACTCCTTCACCCCCAGTTCCACTCCAGATCCCTACGCTCGACCACGCTCCCGAATCCCCCACGCCGACAGACCACAGACCTACACCTAGTCCTCCCCTTCTCGACTGGTCGACAGCGTATTCTAAGTGCCCAGTGTTCTGCACGCCTTATAATGCTGCCTCTGACAAGCAGGGCGAAGTTGTTCAACTGGAGTTCCAACATCGTCGTCGCACCTTCCGTTTTGTCCACCCCTATTTACATATCTGCGTTAATGGTCTCTGGCTTATCTGGGCGCCTCAGTTTCCAGAGTTCCTCACTCATGTTCTGTACACGCATCACGATCACGTCACCGCCGGACATCGAGGCCAAAAGAAGACTTACAAGGCCCTCAGCAAGCGTTACTACTGGCCTGGCATGCGTACTTACACCAACGAGTATGTCGAGTCCTGCACGCAGTGTCGCGCATCCAAATCCCTTAATCAAAAACCCGCAGGCCTTTTGCAACAGCTACTTATTCCCTCGCGCCGGTGGAGCCATGTCAGCCTAGATTTCGTCACCGACTTACCCCTCACCACCTCTGGGCACGACGCCATTTTGGTCGTCGTTGACTCTCTCAGCAAGATGGCACACTTTATTCCGGCTAAGAAATCCCTCTCAGCCGCCGACACTGTAGAGCTCCTTGCTGACCGCCTCATTCGCTATCACGGCTTTCCTGAGGTCCTCATTTCCGACCGGGATCCTCGTTTCCAATCAGAAGTGTGGTCGCAATTGTGCTCACGTTTCAATATTACCCGAGCGATGTCTTCTTCTTACCACCCGCAAACGGACGGTCAGACCGAGCGAGTTAACCGCACCCTGGAACAGATGCTCCGCACGTACATCCAGGCAGACGAGAGGGAATGGGAACGCCTGCTGCCTGCCTTGGAGCTAGCGTATAACACCACCAGTCATTGGTGGTGTTATACGCTAGCTCCAAGGCAGGCAGCAGGCGTTCCCATTCC